TTTTTTTTTTTTGGTACGCAGAGAGCTAACAACATCCGCAGTTTCACTCGTACTTCTTTTTAAACTTCAGGCTTTATCACCTAATTATTGTCGTTGTTGCAGGGCTCTATAAATTGTTGATGTTTCAGTCTGTGAGAATTTTTTCTCGTTTTGTTCGAAGTACATTCTTCTTAGCTTCATTATTCACCTTTAGTTTCGTATATTTTATTATAAAAAGTGGTTTTTTGGTCTGGTTGGTTCGAAATTATATTTCTTCAGCCGTAAGTTTAACATTAATTACTTTCCGGAAAAGTTCACCTGTTATACTTATCATTATCAAAGAAATAAACTACTAAATTGAGTACTTCATTGACTGAATTTTTTAGGATTTGGACAGCCAGATGTTGGATAAGTTGATAGCTCATCGACATATTCAATGGCTCGCCGACAAATCTCAACTGCAAGATTATAACATGACATCAGGAACAAATATACCAGTATTTTGCCGCAATACCCGACAGGGAAGAACGATCGTAACCGACGACCAAGGTTTGATACAGAATTTGTACAACACAGTTGATGTTTTTCGTGAAGTTTAACGAAAAAGGAACAAAATTTTTTTGGTTATAAGTTTTTTGTTCGTTTTTCTTCTGTTTGAAAAAGTCCGGAGTTTCAGAAACAAACGGTTGCAAAGTCGTTATTTTAAATCTGTAATCCGTTTTTGGTTAAAGGTTATACATGCGAGAGAGCTCATCTTATGGCCAATGGCTGTTGTGAAGTATCTGTTAATACTTCAAGATTTAGTTGCAGTGGATGTGAAACGACCCCTGGTTGTTGCGCTCTTTATGAGGACTGTGTCGCGTGCTGCATGAAACCGGAACAAGTTTGTAGCTTCACTTCATTTTTTTTTTCATTCGTGCGTTCCTGCAGTAAGTTCCTGTATTGAGATATTCCTAACTTCTCCAGAAAAATGTTCTTTTGGAAATGATAAGAAACACTTCTGGGCATCGTTTACGACAGATTCTGGCGGCTACTGATCAATTTGAACTATGCCTTCTGAAATGCCGTACCTCTTCAAATGTAAGTTGCAGGTTGCCGGTTTCTTAAATTTGCGTAATATTTTGTATGTTAATGGAATACTTGTCCAAATCAGGAGTCTCACCTGCACTGCACAGCTAGTGAGCTTTCTGATTGGCTGCGCAACGTTAGTGGGCTAGGCAGCTGATTCTTCGTTCCATTTTAATTATCAAGTGTGATGTCTCAAAAAATTATACGAGAGCACAATACCTTTGTTTTGAAGCCTGATGTCTGGTAGCTGCGTACCGTAAACAAAGCTTTCTGGTTAACGGAACGGTATTTAGAGTTGCCGCTAATTAATTCCTACAAAAAATAGTTATTTACGTTGTTTCTTCTGTGAAGGTTATAGCTTAAGAAAAGAGAGTGATAAATGACTGAAGACCTTTTGATAAAGACATCCTAGCGAACAAATTATACATCTGTATAACGATATTTATGATGGCCTAATATCGTGCAAGTGTCACATGTCTCGTCATAAAAGGACTTAACCTCTTTACTTTAGTTTCGGTTAATTTTTGGCTCTCTTCGTTTTTTCCCTCTTTATTTTGTAGTTGCTTTAACAAGCATTTACTTTTAAGGCAGCCAGTTCATCAACTGGAATTATTTTTCCATTTAATAGATCTTTCAAAATGTTGTTTTTAATAACCAACATGGAATAAAAGGTCGGTTAACCACCCCGCAGCCGACGTGCGACTAATTAGAGAGCCCACTGGTTGTACATCGTGATCGGGCCTCTTAATGACAAAAAACACATCTAAAGCAAATGGTTTATATTGGTTTTCAGATATCCAACTTTGTCATAACATTGTTATGTTTTTTTTAGAGTGTTCACCTCGAGAATAAATATAAAAGTGAAAAGTTAAAGTACTGTTACAAACAGGAGCCTCTACGACCTTACAGTTAATTTAAAATTATTCCTGCCGCTTGTATATACAAATTTCTTTTCTTATTTAGGATATTTCTCAAGGTTTTTAGCACTTTAACTAGACAATTTGTTCAGAAATTCATGTAACCGTACTTGAGTTTTATTATTCTTAGTAATTCAGTATTTGTTTTATTTTATTTTTTTATTTTTATTTATTTATTTATTTTTTTTTT